AGATTCAAACCTTTTCCTCTTTGGATTTTCCGAGCTCTGTGAACGGATCGTTCTCATCTCTAGGTATAAAACTGCTGCCATCTTTCACCCCGCCCCCTCCGTTACCCCTGCTTCTTCCATATTTAGTCATTGCCAAGTCTTCCCAATTCTGTCTCCATCTTCCCCTGTGCCTTCTTCATGCTCATTGTCACTACCTATGACTCTAGTCCAGACTCTGCTTCTTTTTATACTGGCCTCCTTCCCTCAGTCCCTCCTAACAGAGAGTCATGCCCATTGTTACTAGATTAAGCTGATTGAAGCTGGGCTCGGAGCACATCACCTCCTTATAAAAGCTTCCATTGACCTTGATACAGCTTTGCCGGGCAGACATAACTGTCCTCAGTTGAGCCCAACACATCTTTCCAGCTTCCCGTCCCCACCCCCCTATGCCCACCCTACTTATTCCAACCCCACTAGACCCCTCCTGCTTCCGTTTTTGAGCATAGTCTTCCTGGATTACTTTTTCCTCTTAATTTTCTCCTATCTACATTTTTTTTTAAATTAAATTTATCGAAGTGACTAAACTGCATCCAGCACGGCCAGGGGTGAACCTGAGGAGGGGCGGTGAAGGATTAAAGAAGACAGACAAGAGAATACAGTTGGGACCAGGTGGATCACTGTGCCTGCCTGAGGAAACGGTGACACAGCCTGTAGGCCGAGTCTTTATTTTATAGTCAAATCACACAAAGCAAAACAAGGGCAAGATGTTTACAGTGTTCTTGCGAATTTCAAATCCGTTTCTTTCCTGTTGTTGCCATTCTCTGAACTCTCTCAAGCCTTGTTTTGGCAGCACTTGCTGCACCCCCATAGCCCACATCCCTTAGCTACCTAGGGTCCGACTATAAGGTCAAGCTTACAACCATAGCCTTTTGGCTGTAATTGTGCTGGGAGGGTTTTGCCCTCCAAGCTGGGACTTGTATGTGGCTTTGCCACAAGTCAGTCCGAGGCTTGATCCTGTCTGAATGCTGTAGCTGCTATCCCCAGGTGACATCGGTTAATATGATCATAGGTTTCAGGTGTGGGTTTCTATGTTATAAGATCTAGGTATTGTACTGTGTGCCCACCACCCAAAGTCAAATCGTCTTCTGTCATCATATATTAGGACTCCCTTAAACTCCCCCCTCCCCTCTGGTAACCACCACACTGCTGTCTGTGCTCATGAGTGTCCATTTTATTTGCCCTGTATGAGTGAAATCATATGGTTCTTAGCTTTTTCTGCCTGACTTGTTTCACTTAGCATAATATTCTCAAGGTCCATCCATGACCTGTCACTTTAGACTTCCTACTTCTAAGACACCTCTCCAAACTTGTATGCTCATCCAAAAGTAATATTTTATTCCTCTGGGTTCTCATAATATCTTATTGGGATCAATCTCCTGGCATCTGTCACTTTATGGTAGTTATTGGTTACATGTCTAGTTTCCCATGCTAGACTGTGAGCTCATTAAAGGCAAGAATTATGCCTTGTTCATCTGCATATCATTGGCACAAACACAGCGCCTCGTACATAGCAGGCACTAAATAAATATTTATTAAAGCAAAGCAGTGCTGGCTGTTTTTGTTTTTAATATTTAAGTGCTGATAAAATTAATGTCTGGCACGTCCCATGAAAATGTTGGTGGAGCTCATGTGTATGGGGACAGTCACCTTTGAGGGCACCTGCTGCTACCTCCTTGCAATGACTCATGACGGATGGTCACAGCTGTCATCCCAAGCCCCAGCAAGTGAAGCTGGGTTGGGCCTCTTCAGATGAATTCTCCAGCTTTTCTTAAATTGGGGAATCTGCCCGTTAGGATGTCCTGCACCCTAAGAACAGGAAATCCTGATTCAGCTGGGCTAGAAGGGAAGTTTATCTCACATGAGAAGTCGGGAGGGGCAGGCCCCTGCACATCCACTTGGCTCAGCCGGCTGCAGGGCTGTGGGAGGACCACGAGACGGCCACATCCTGGCCACGGGACACACACTCAGGAAACGGGACACTCTCTGCAAGGAGAGGGCCTCCCCTCTGTGCCTTAAGTGTATTCACCAGAAAACCCTCCCTGAAGCCTCTGGGCAGCCTTCCCCTCATGTCTCATTGGCTGCAAGTGCTTCATTGACTTAGAAAACCAGCAGTGGCGGAACTGGCTTGGACCCCGTCGTCTGTGGCTGTGTGGAGGGCAGCAGTTACCTCCTTTGGGAGGGCAAGGGGGGTAAAATTAGAAACACCTATTGCCGGTGTTTGCTTTTAGTTGTATGTATGTACAATCTCTTCACCCAGTATAGCCAGCCAAACTTTTTCTCTTGGTAATCATTAGTTCCAAAATACTGTTTTTCTTCAGGCTACATGCATTTCCAAATTCAAAGGTGATAGAACTGCTAGGTATTGTTTGTATCCTATATAATAAAGAGGTAATATGCAAATTGACTGTCACACACTCACAAGATGGCTGCCTACAACCAGGCCGTCATGGGGGGGGGGTGTTAGTGAGGGACAACCAAATGACTGAACAAGCAGGCTGTGTGGGGCAACCAGGCTGGCGGCGGGGAGGGGCATGAGGAGCGACCAGGCCAGCAGGGTGGGCAGTTGGGGCTGACCCGGGGGGGCAGTAAGGAGTGACCAGGCCGGTGGGGTGCGGGGGGCAGTTAGGAGCAACCAGGCCAGCAGGGAGGGGGGCATTTGGGAGTGACCTGGCCGGCAGCAGGGGACAGTTAGGGGTGATCAGGCTGGTGGGGGGGTGGGAGGGGGGCGCAGTTAGGGCAACCAGGCAGGCAGGCAGGTGAGCGATTAGGAGCCAGCGGTCCAGGATTGTGAGAGGGATGTACAACTGCCGGCAGTCAGACATCCCCCGAGGGGTCCCGGATTGGAGAGGGTGCAGAATTGGAGAGGGTGCAGGACCCTCCCCCCGTGCATGAATTTTGTACACGAGGCCTCTAGTTATGTCATAAAATGCCTCAAACTTGATAAACCTCTTATCGTGCATGTCAAAACAATAAGACGAGATGCCATCATCACGCTGGTTTTCCTTTGCAGAATTCCATCCAAACGCTGGCCGTAAGGAGAGCTGGCCTTGCTGCATGCAGCACAAGCACAGGGCTCCCACAGTGTCTGCTACCGTTCTGGGTTCTGGTGGCATTCTTTCCTGACTACTAGGACTTGCTCTGCAGAAACCAGTTTTTTTCCTGATTTCCCCACCTTGCATGGCTAGCTGCTTGTTCTTCCATCTTATCCTATCTGTGGCCACACCTTCCACCTCTCCTGCAGTCTGGCACACAGGAGTGGCACCACTAAATAAATGAAGATGACTGTTATCTGGTGCCAAACCATTTGGTTATTGGAATGTCTGTTTTTGCTGTATGCTACCTCCAAACACCAATATGAGGAAGGTGTTATAAAACCAAAAGGTAAGAGTTTTTTTTAAAGTAATTTATTTTTTAAAAGTATTTTTATTCATTTCAGAGAGGAAGGGAGGAGAGATAGAAACATCAATGATGAGAGAGAATCATTGATCAGCTGCCTCCTGCACACCCCCTGCTGGGGATCAAGCCCACAACCCAGGCATGTGCCCTTAACCAGAACTGAACTTGGGACCCTTCAGTTCACAGGCCAACACTCTATCCACTGAGCCAAACCAGGTAGGGTGGTAAGAGAGTGCTTAATTTGAAAGCTATTGGGGGACACACTCCATGATAAAATCAACAGGATGGTTTATATATTTATCAACTCATAGTAAGTTGATAAACACTTTAAAATGAGCTAGAGGAAACAATTTCTGAGATAAAAACCCTCTTATTGATTTTAATATAGCTATGAAAAGGGCCTCATTTAGGAAATATTTCTAAAAATTTTTATGCAAAGTAACTGAATAATTTCTTAGCTATTTCATTCTTAAAGAGCCTCTAGAAACAAATGTTTGTTTGCTGTTTACTGATATATTTCTGGAAGATCAAAATAAAAACACTAGCTAACACTGGCTGAACAATTACGATGTGTAAGGCCCTTTTCTAAGCATTTCACATGAAGTCACACTTAGTGTTTACAGCCACCTGTGAGGGAAGTGTCACTATCTGAGTTTCTCCAACAAGCTTGCGGCAGAGAAATGAACTTGTCCCTGGTAGATGGCAAGTGCAGGCTTCAGAGCCAGGGTTGGAAGCCAGCTGGCCAAGTGCCTGGGCAGACACCGGCGGGCAGGGCAGGCCGCAGGCCGGGCCAGCCTGTGGCCGGGGCGGGGAGGCGGCGCCTCCCTCCATTCCCTTTCCTGGGCAGTTTGGCAGACACTCCACCCCCAACTCTACCCCTGCCCCCAACCCCATGGCTCCTTCAGCGGAAATTCACAAGTTCATTTTGGCATACAGGTTTTTGGTATTAAAATTCCCAGAACGAAAAAGTCTAGATGTGTTGATATGAATTTTTAACCACGGCCTAAATGTGGAAAATAAAATCTTGAGATCATGGAAGGAATAATGTATGTTTGTTTTTTCAGAGAGGAAGGGAGAGGGAGAGATAGAAACATCGATGAGAGAGAATCATTGGTCAGCCGCCTTCTGCACCCCCCCCCCCCCCTCCAGCCCGGCATGGGGACAGAGCCTGCAATCCGGGCATGTGCCCTGACCATGAATCGAACTGTGAACTCCTGGTTCATAGGTTGTCACTCAACCACTGAGCCACTGTGGCTGGGCAAAGGAATAATGTTTTAAAGTAAAGTACACCACAACAAATTTCTAAAACCTCCAAATTTGGGATGATTTTTTTATTTACAAAACAGATTCTTTTGTTTTACAAAAATTACAAAAAAAAAATGACTTTTAAAAAATAGAAGTAGCTTCTCAGGCTTTCGGGAACTATTTTTAAGTAACCAGGGAGTTAGAACCTAGGTGGATTTCTTTGTTTTAAGAGGTGTAAAGCGACATTTATCAAGGCTTCACATCTCCCCCAAATTTTTGTATCGTCTCTGGCGGAAAGGGCTCCCGTCAGGTCAGAGTCTGCAGAAGCAAGATCTTCTCGTTGATGCAGAACCTGTGCAGCACCACCATCAAGTTCTCTCCACAGCGGGACACCTGGCGCTCCATGGCCAGGCGGAAGTCCTCCTTCACGCCCTTGGTGATGCCCCGAGTGACCGTGTGGTGCCTGAGGGCAGCAACAGGAAAACAGGGACACGTGGTTAGCGCTGGTTCTACAGGGCAGGCCTCTGGGGTAGGAGTAAAGCCTACCTCAAATCTAAGTATAAGTAAGACATTTTAAAAAGAAAGAAAAGCCCTAACCAAACCGCCCCCTTTGCCCATTCCTTCTCAAAGACTTGAAACTAGAGAGACACCTTTCCCACTCAAGAAAAGAAGATTTTAAAGATCTAAATGTTCGGTAAAATGCCATCTGCTTCGCTTTTGAACTCCTGTAGCTTGGACATTATGCATCCCTACGCTGACTTGTGCACAGTTCGGTCACTGTGGGCTGACTGGGTCAGTCCACACTGCAGAGGCAGCAGCAGGGAGGAGGGAAACCAAGATGAGTGCCACCAAACAGCTTAGGCACCTGGCCCCGTGGGCTGGGGCTCCGTGAAGGGCTCAGGGACTATGCTCAGCCACCGGTCACAAGCACATCTCTGTCCCCTGCTGCCAGAACAGGATGGCTCCGCTAAGTGCTGAGCCCAGCAGGTCAGGTCTGCTGGCTCCCAAGACAAGAGAGAGTCTGGCACCCGCGGGGAGGGAGCAGCACAGTCACTGAGCAATAGTCAAAGGCCAGCAAAAGCCACCTGAAGACCGGATCCAGTCCATGTGCACAGACCTGCATGCTGGTGGGAGGGCCCGTGGGAGCACAAGCAAAGATCTCCGGGGTGTGCTTCAGAGCAGCGGTCGCCAACCGGTGGTCCGCGACCACGTGGTCTGTGAGGTCCGAAAGGTTGGCGACCGCTGCTTTAGAGGGAAACCACACGAAATCCCAGAAAAGACACCACGTGAAGGAAAAGAAAAATCTAGCAAAACTCAATGGATTCAATGAAAAGGAAAGGAGTTTTGACACCAGTTCAGTAATTTGGTGGGTTTAGACAAACAGAGACCACCTCCATTCCCCACCACTACTGCCTCACTTCCCTCAGACACAGGAACAGGGATTAAAATTAGGTTTTTATGTGCTCGCTTCAGCAGCAACTATACTAAAATTAGGTATTTATGTGTTGGTCAGAACAACACCATTGAAACCACTCTAAAATGTTTGTTTTTTAAAACTTGTACTAGCATATAAAACAAGTACAACAAAGTCATAAAGTTGCAAAGCAACAGAAGGAAAGACACCCAGCCTTGTCAGGCTCGTAGTGACATTACTGGGCACGCTGCAATGCTGGGAACTACGCAGCAAAACAGCGGTGCCGCGGAGGACACACGCAGTTCTTGCGGACTTTTCTAGTGACGTCTGGCTGGTTCACTTGGCAGTTAGGACAGTGTCAGGCCGAGGCCACGAGTCCTACTGGGACAGACACCAACCTTAGGCTGTCCTGAGACACTGCATTTCTGGGAGCCAGTCTGCAACCCCAAATTGGAGCCGACTCCCTGACCAACCAAAAGTTACTGGTATTTGCAGACAGTCAAGGGCGTTGAGGGTGCAAAGCAAACTGTCTACTAGTAAATTAATACTAGTACAAATATAATGAACTGTATCCTGCTGATCATGGTTCAAAGGTACTGTTTCACATATATACAGAGCAGCACAACTCAGTCATGTGTCTGTCAGAGCCTCCATCCCTCTGGTAAATTTAGATGAAGGAATTAGCTTTTGTGGTTTAAGAACAGGATAAATCAGCTAATAACCGTGACATTCTAGCTACCCAATATTTTTAATTCAGAAAGACAAGGTCGGCGACAGGCGAGTATACTGTGCTAATGCCTGTTGAGACCGAAGTCTTAACACTGGTCACTCGTATAAACTTAGGAGTAAACATTTACTTAAAATACGCTTGAGCGCCCTCCAGTGTTTATAACGGAACGCCTTACACTTTCCCAAAAGAAGAGTTCAGTGCCTAATGTGCACTCAATCTGACAGTTTTATATAACTTTCATGTTTTCCAGCTCCATAATGATTTTTAAACCGAACACAAAAACACTGGCAACTTATGGCAAAAAAATAAGAAATGTTACAATATTACAACCAGATGGTTTGCCAAGGAATGCAGAACAAATTAAAAAATAAAGAAAGCATGGAAAAGAGCACTGAGGAACAAAGAGCTGAAGACCATGGGCAGTAAAACATGTTGACAAAACAGCACACTATATGAGCAGGTGTTTTTCCACTTGGTACCTGTCAGCAGTCTGTATGCTGGGCTGAAGCACAGGTAAGAATTCCTGCTGCAGTAACCCCATGGGAGGGCTAGTAGGCCTTTAAAAAACAGCAAACGGCAGCATTCAAACACCCACACCGACTCACCCTGCACTGCAAAAAACACTCCAGAGAGAAGGCACAGGACGGGAAGCAGACTATACAGAAACCCTCTAACCACAGGCCCCTGGCCGCGGCTCTCACTGCACCCGCTGCTGGGGCGCGGCCAGAGGCATCTTGGTTCCTGGTCCCCGCGCTCAGCCCACTTGAGATTTGGCATAAAAAGCAACCACTGAGGAAGAGGACGATGAGATGCAATTGAATGGCAGTGGGGAGAGGGGTGAACATTTGAGAAGTCGTGTTTTCAAATCCAGCCTCCTTCACTCTCCACTCTTCTCATGCTCACGCCAGACCTAGAAACAAACCTGGTGACTTTTTGTAACCATCCTTGATGGGATTGAAGCCCCAAACTGAAGAGGCCCTTCCAAGAGGACTAGAGGGGCTGGCAATGTTTTTGATAAAGAAAGGTTAGTTTGAATTTCAAAAAAGTACTGAGAAAAGGAAAAATGGGGGATGGGAGGGGAAAGAGCCTGGGACCCAGGGCTTTGCAGAATTCTGTAACAACAAAGATTTAGTACATTAGCTGGGTGTTCACCTCACAGATTATTACCCATCCTATTCAAAGCATACATAGGACACCGTTTCCTACTTCATCCAGTCTAATGCAACTAAGATACTGCAAATATCAGCACAGAAAATTTTCTCTGCTTTAAAATACATAAGAGCAAAATGTCTATGTAACAAATAAAGAGCGTATCCCTCCTGTGGGGCAGGCCCCCGGTGCCCAGTGTTCGTACTGTACCTGCTCACATCCGAGATGCCACAACTAGGACGGACTCACAACCTTACCCAAGGGGAGGGGCTGTACACTGCTCACAACATCTCTGCCACTCAGCTGCAGGGGCCAACCACAAGTCTGCAGAGAATTTGTTTGCAACCCAAAGGGAAAAGGAATATAGTTTTACTCAAGATTTCACCATACCTCAATTGGCAAGAATGCTCTGGCTTATGCCGCTTGCTTCTCCCGCTGTAGGTTAGGCATAAGTAATTGGAAATGCAGGCTTCAAATGGAATTTGAGACTCACTTAGTGACTGGGCAAATTCCTACAAGGGCAGCTCACTAAGTAGCAATCTTATTCCTGCTTTCAAACAGGTTTCCTGCGAAGTTTAGTGGTCTAGAAATTAAGGGTTATGTTGACCATAGCAGGGGCATGGAGTTACCTCCCAAAAGCCTAGAAACGCATGCTGTGTATCCTAAACAACCCTTTGCCTTATTATGTGGGTGTCCAAGCCCCTTATCTCAGGGGTTGTCTACATGTACCCATCACTGTTTAGCTCAGTAAAAACTGGCTAAAAAAGATTCAGTGTAATAAACTTTGAGATTCAACTGGCGATTTTTTGGCAATCTATTCTTTCCCACTTCCACAAACAGTTAAGCAGTATCTAAACCAGGGGTGGGGAATGTCCGGCCCATATAAGGCCTGCGAAATCATTTGGTCTGGCCCTGTCAAGACATTAGGGGTGAGTTAATTGAGTGACCAAATACAGCAGGCTAATTTTTAAGTTGATAATTTTGTATGGCCTGCGAATGATGTTATAAATATCCAAATGGTCCTGGGCAGAAAAAAGGTTCCCCACCCCTGAAGCAAAGTGAGAATCTTCTGTAAGTTTACTCCTAAGTAAATGGAGTTGGTTCTACTAAGGCTGTCTATATATTATGATAATTTGTATGATGAGTGTTAATGGGAATTAATGAAAAAGCTATGTTTGTATACCCAGCCTCAAACCTAGAAAAGAAATCACAAAATCACAACATAAAGGGGTTATGTAGGCTCCCATGTCAAAAGGAATCTTCATTTTCAAACACTGTTAAGAATTTGCAATGACCCATGCAATTATTTCCCCAGTTCATGTTCAGTCTTTGGAAAGTGAATGGGATGGGAAGATGAGCATGCCCAGTCCATCTTGCTGAAGCAACCGAATTTATAAAGGTCTCATTTTCTTTTAAAAGAGCATTTGTTCTTTTATTTTAAATGTTTAGAATATTAATAACATTTTTAAGAGGAAGGACAAGAACCCCACTGAGTCTTCCCTTTCTTTAAACTGGATTCCATAAGACCCTACTATTGACAGCATGCGTCTGCTTTGCACAAATTACTGCGGTCACAGAAATCCAGAATGAACTGCTCTTACCTCCTTCTCCTAACATTTCTAAGACTAGAGAGACAGAACAAGCTGTGGCTATTTCTCCGTCAACACCTGAATACTCGCTCAGGTCACAAGTGAGGGAGAAAGGAAGACGTTCTCAGCCTTAGGAGCATTGCCTTCTCCCTCTGGGTCAGTCTCCTGCAGTGATGCTAACGCTGACTTAAGACACGCTGACTACGCAGGACGCAAAGGAGGAAGTATGAAAATCACACTAGGTGTGGCTTTACAGCACAGAGGATATAACATCCAAACTATGATGAGGATTGGAGGAGAGAAGCAAGATTTATGAGCTATTTAAAAATCATAAATGGTCACTAACTTCCTCTAGGTGTGGGAGGGCATGCCTGAGACCAAGCACCACCATCATTTCTTGGGCCAGGTGTGAACTTGGAGGCCCTAGCCTGGGCTATTTTCCTTTGTGCTATATAAGCAGTGAGGATTGCTGAGGTGGGTCTCAGTTCAACAGTGAAATTCAAGTACAGTTTATAACCAAAGTCTATAGTTTCCCTGATGACTTATCCTAATCTGGTATTTCAATTAAGCGTGGCTTTTTTTCATTAAAAGCACTCTATGTTTAATCGGACATTTATTGACTTAGTCTGTAAATTTTAGAAAGGAAAAGATACCACGAATGAGACTTTGGTTTAGTGAAATAGTTTCAGAAGTGACAAAAACATCCTAGTTTAAATAATGTTTGGTCAAAAATGTCGTTAAGGAAACGCCAAGCCTTTCAAAAGGCACCAGAATCAAATCTGTTCTCAAAACAGAGACTAGGTTTGGATTTCTTTCTATTAAATTTGTAAAAGGTATAGAAATTTACAAACATTTCCTGTAAGCACCCAAAAGGCGAGCACTTAGCAGGGGAGAGCAAAAGACAGTCTGCTTACTTGATCAGCATTCCTTGATTGGGCAGTAATTCCAGATGGATTTTCCCACCTTCCTGAGTTCTTAGGTAGGCAAATTCCTCCAGCATGTCAATATCTGCAGGTCAGATTCAGGTTAACCACGTGTGAGAACAAGGTGCCCTGGTCTCTCGGATGAGGAAACCGCCTTGTAGCAATTGAGGAACTAACACCCCATGACAGCTGGAGAGTCAGTACTGGAACCCAGGTCCCTCTGATTCCAAAGCTAATGATTCTTACACCAACCAAACTACCTCACCAAGGTAAACCTGTTTTTCACAGAAATGGCAATATAAAATTCCCTATGATCGTAAGAGCAAAATCTTTTGTTTTCTTAATAAGAAATGAGGGGCATTGTACCCCAAAAACGGTAAGAACTATTGCTCTAGGCACTTGGACTAGGATATTAGATTTCTCGCAACTCAAAAATAATGTGCTGAGATAAGCGGTAAAGTAGAAACACCAAACTGATGCATAACCTTCCATTCAAATGTGGTCTTTCCCTAACAGAGAGCATGAACACAACACTTATCACTGAAAGCGACTGCTGGGCTGCACAGGTGGTGAGCGCTCGGCAGCGGTGAGAACTCCAACTGATCCCAGGGGACGGTTGACGCCCAGGAGGCTCTCTTGTGAAAGATGGAGGCCAGTGAGCTGTTATATACCCTATGGCCACACCAGCAACTCTGGGCCTGTTAGGAACCTGTAGGCTACTACTTTAGGCATCTGGGCACCTCCCCAGAAGTCCCTGGAAATAGAAAATGAACAGGGCTGTTGATGTTCCTGATTCCTTGCATGACCTCCTTGAAACCTTTTATTTTTTATGACTTTCACAAGACCAATGGCAAATGTCCCACTTTGGACCCCCAGTCCTTCTCTTCCCCCCCCCCCAAATAGTGAAAACCATTATTTCTACCCAGAATGGGCCATTTGTTTTTGGAACATGCATTCATAAAAAAAAAAAAAAAAATCAGAATTTCTTATGCTTAAGCAAGAAAAAGGATACTTGTAACATAATTGAAAAAATTCTCATATTGGAAATTTCCTTGTTGGCAAATCTTATTGACAGCTTTCAAGAAAAGATTCTCTCCCCGAGGCCACTCCTGCTGAAGCAATACGATCACGTGCCCCAGAGCCATGTCATCCCTGCTGTCCGTGAAAGCTCTAAGCTGCAAGACAAGGGTTGATGCAAACACAGAAGGAAAAGGAAATCATGGGGCAATCCAAAATACACCAGATATCACTTCCTTAAAAAAATGCTATTATTTGAAAATGCATTATCAAGGTCATTAGAGTAAGAAGGGGGCACAGTAGAAACAAACATGCCTTGCCAGCAGCACACAACTGCCGACGGAGGAGGGAGTCCTGACAGAGAAGCCTCAGCCCCCCTCCCCGCACTGTGCGCAAGCGGCTGGCAGGGTTTGCATGGTATCTGATGGAACCTGGGCACGCACAGTGGGCCTGAAGCTTTGAATTTGGGAGTAAGGGCTAGAGAAAGCAGAGTGGTCTATATAAGAGAGAGAAGAATTGGGGGATTTCTTTTAAGGAGCAGTTGGGAGAGGAGGGTGGGCAAGAAACCCTCTAGGAGAGAAGGGATTGAAAACATGGACTTGGGGAGAGAGAAAGGTAGTGAGCAAAAAGGAAGTAAACAGCAGTGTGAACTGGAGAAACTGGCAAAGGACTTTTTGATCTACGTGAGCAGCTAGACCTAAAATCACACTTTCAAGTGATTCTGATGATGAGTTAAGTTTGGAATAACTACTCTAAAGTGAGACCCAGTATTATCGCCCTCTTGCTCATAAAACCTGTCTACGCTAAGGCTCCACAGCGCCTGCAGCCGAGGGCCTGGCATTCTATCAAGTCCTTAACCTTCCCAGCTCTGCGGGGCCTTTGCTGGTGTTCATCCTTATGCCTGAAACGCTCCACCCACTGTATCTTTATATTACACTCACTATCCCTCTATGAACCCAACATTTACAATCCCTTCTTCTGTAACTAATATATTCTGAATTGCATAGTGATTCATAAATATATAATGAACCCTGCTATAAGCAAGGTTATTTGCATATTTGTCCCACTATTATTTGTAACCTTCTCAAGGATGGGGATCACTTCCTACTCATCTTCGCCCAGTGCAGTCAGTATTTAATAAATGTCTGTTCACTCCTAGCCCACACACTGTCCTCACTACACCACCTGCATTTGCAAAGGACTAAACTAACATTTGTTCTCAAAGTTCTGAAGTCAAGTCATTCTGAATCATCCGAACAATATTCCAAATTAAATTTCCTTCCCACAAAATGAACTTTCCCACAACGTTAAGCTTACCTTAAAACAAGCTAGCATTAAGTGCAGGCAGTACGGCATGATAGCCTTGCTGGTACAGGGCAGAAGCTTCAGGTCCGAACCTAACAAAAGTCCACAATATGCTTGTTATTATAAAACAACAACAACAAAAACAGCTTTGAAAAGCATATGTTTAAGATGCTTTCCTAAAAAAAAGGATGAACAACAGTCACATGATTTCATAAATAGTTAAACCACAATTATGTGTAGTGGAGGTGAAATTGGTTTTTGAATGGTCTCTGGATTTCATTTATCAATCTTTTTTCCTAAACTTGCTGAATCTATGGATACATTGGGGATGACTGGTACCTTAACCATACTGAGTCTTCTATCTACAAACATGATTTTTAAAAAAATGGATCTTGGAGAGGGAAAAGAAGGGAGGAAGAGAGAGGGAGAGGAAGAGGGAGAAAGAGAGACAGACAGACACAGAAACACCAACTGGTTGCCTCTTGGATGCACCCCGAAAGGGGAATTGAACCTGCAACCTGGGTAGGTGCCCTGACCGAAACCAAACCCATCACCTTTCAGTGTACAGGATGACACTCCAATGAACTGATCCATTATCAGCCAGGGCTACGAACAAGATTTTGACATATCTTTCATTAAATTTATCCCTATGTATTCTATTTGGATATTTCTTAGGCTTTTCTATGTAGCCAAATATGTAGCTGTATATAAAGGCAGTGTTTTTCAACCTTTATCTCTTCTTCTTGCCTATTATATTGGCTAGACTATTTTGAATGAAGTGGTGGGAGCAGACATCCTTCTATTGCTGCTGATCCTGGGGAGCATTCAATATTTCATAGTTAAGTATGATGTCACGGAAGTTTCCTTCTATTTTCAGTATGCTAAGATTTTTAAAATCAGGAATAATAAATGTAAACATAATTGAATTCTACCTATTAAGACAATCATGATCTTGTTTCATCTGCTAATGTGGTGGATTAGTTATTGATTTTTTAATGTTAACGACTTCTGCATTCCCTGTATACTTGGTCATTTGTATTACCTTTCTTATATATTTGCTATATTTGTCTTGCTACTATTTAGTTAAGGATTCCGGCATCTAGGTTCAGGATGAGCACTGGCCTTTAATGTTTCTTGTGATGCTCGTTTGGTTTTGCTATCAGAGTTATGTTGGTCTTAAAAACTCAACTGAAAAGTATGCCCTCTTCCTCTATTCCTCAAAGAGTGCAGGTTAGGATTGTTATTATTTCTTCCTAAATGCTTAGTAGAATTCACCAGTGAAGCCATCTGAAACTGGAGTTTTCTCTGTGGGAAATTTTTGATAACAAACTTAATTTCTTCGATAGATATAGGAACATTCAGATTTTCTAATTCGTTTTGTGTCCATTTGGATAAGTTGTGTTTTTCAAGGAATTTTTTCATTTCATCTAAATTGTTGAATTTATTGGCATAATGTTGTTCATAACTTACTTAATGTCCTTGATTTAGGAGGCTCTGTAGTGACTTTCCCCGTTTCATTCCTGATACTGGTAGTCAGTGTTCACTTTTTTCTGGATCAGTCTTGTTAGGGTTTATCAATTTTATTAGTTCTTTGCAGAAAACCAACTGTTAGCTTTATTAATTTTCTCTATTTCATTGATTTCTGCTCATATTGTTATAATTTCCTGTCTTCAACTTTCTTTGGGTTTAATGTGTTCAACTTTTTCTGACTATTAAGGTAGAAATTTAGATCAGTGATAGTGAATCTTTCTTATATAATAAGCATGACAGCTAAATTTATGTAGTTTTTAAGCAACATGCAACTTGAAGTGCAGCGCAAAAGAGCTCAAGAGGGATACGTACGATCTACACGTTTCCCTAGAATTGGTAAAGGAAGGAAAAGGAGTTCCGAATTGAAGAGATGGCACCTTAAGAAATGAAGAGAACTCTGGAAGAAAGGCAGACTTCCAGCTACTTAGGAAATCAGAGCCAAGAAAAAGCTTGGTAAGGGATTAACTTTTTATACATTTTGTCAAGCCCTGCAGATCACACAGTACTATCTTATCAGGAATTATAAAAAAATTTCCCAGCCTTGGTCCTAAAGCTGTTTTTACAAAATAAAAACAAAACTTGTCACTGTACCTTTTCTAAATTTGGGCTTTACTTTTGAAGGTTCTTCCTGTGATTTGCCTCCATCTTGAATGGGGAGCACCATGTAGCACATCAAATCCAGGACTTTTTCACATGTCATCTGAGGAAGACAAGGAGAAGGAGCTCATATGAAGTTTCTGAAACTGAAAGCAACCGACACCACACTGACTATCTGCGTACAACTGGGCAACACGTGTACACAGAGTCTGTGGCAATGTCTCCAGACCCTGTAAGTGGCCATCGCTGTTGTCAACATACAGGGAAAGTAACAGGAAGGTGAAATCCTGTACTGGACCTTTGAGGGAACAATAACTCGTTCTCTGTTGTTAAAAAAAACCAACAAAACAAAACTTACTACTTAATCAAACTACCAATGTATTAAATAGGATAGTGGCACCCAAAAGAAGTATGTCTCTGTCTTTACAACATTTACTAACTCACCAGAGAGAAAAATTAACAAAACAGAACATATAGTATGAACTGAATTAAAACATTTATTGAGTATGGAAGCTGTGCAAACTACTGCGATAGGCAGTGAGAGATCCAAGATAAAGAACACTGTCCCCACCCTGTGAAGGCGGGGCTCACAGCCAAAGCGATATCCTGAGGTTCAGATAAGCTAATGTAAGTCCTCATTCCCCACTTAGTAAAGACTCTTTCTGTTCAGTACATCAGGTCTGATTCCACTGTGAAGGGATTTCAGGCAAGGAAGGGAAGGGAAGGGAAGGGGAAGGGGAAGGGGAAGGGGAAGGGGAAGGGGAAGGGGAAGGGGAAGGGAAGGGAAGGGGAAGGGGAAGGGGAAGGGGAAGGGGAAGGGAAGGGGAAGGGGAAGGGGAAGGGAAGGGAAGGGGAAGGGGAAGGGGAAGGGGAAGGGGAAGGGGAAGGGGAAGGGAGGGAAGGGGAGGGGGAAGGGGAAGGGGAGGGAAGGGAAAGGAGGGGAAGGGGAAGAGGAAGGGAAGGGAAGGGAAGGGGAAGGGGAAGGGGAAGGGAAGGAAGGGGAAGGGAAGGGGAAGGGGAAGGGGAAGGGGAAGGGGAAGGGAAGGGGAAGGGAAGGGAAGGGGAAGGGGAAGGGAAGGGGAAGGGGAAGGGGAAGGGGAAGGGGAAGGGAAGGGGAAGGGGAAGGGGAAGGGGAAGGGGAAGGGAAGGGAAGGGGAAGGGGAAGGGAAGGGGAAGGGGAAGGGGAAGGGGAAGGGAAGGGAAGGGGAAGGGAAGGGGAAGGGAAGGGGAAGGGAAGGGAAGGAAGGGGAAGGAAAGGAGGGAGGGAGGAAGGAAATCTTCCAACAAAATGGAACAATAATAAAGCACTGAGGCCCAATTTCAGGGAAACTATAGTAGAGGGAAAATTAAGTACAAAAAATCGCCATGATTTCCCAGCAGACTGGGTAATAAATCTAGGCAGAAAGACTAAATTTCAAAGTAAACATGCACAGAATTAAAAAGCCACTCCGGGAGGAGGAAACCAGGGTAGCCGAGTGCCCCTGAGGGCCTGAGCAAGGTGTCAGTACTCACTCTGTACTCCCCTAGAGCAAAGTGGCAAGCGGCCAGCTGGAGGAGCGCCCTCTGATGCTCCAAGGTTCCCTGTCCCGTGAGCTGCGGCTGAGGAAGTGATCCCTGGAGAGCTGCTAAGTGATGCAGGCTGGCTATTGCCTTTTTATATTGACCCTTAGAAAGATAAACAGTAAGAAGGGGAAAATACTGCCATTAAAAACAAATAAACCAACCTCCTGAGTTAACTAAGCAACTAGCAAGTAACTACAAATAAGGTACCTCTGCTTGATTACCCAAGGAGGAATGAGGAGGCTTAGCAACGGCCTTTCTGGTCTTTAAGACTAAATAAAATGACGCAAGCCCTTTGATAAAGTACATTTTGAATATACCATTCCTCCATCAACATTTTACTACTAGGACCACTTCTCTTTTATGAGGGGTGAAAGCAGCAACCTGTCCATTTCAACCAAAGAGGCTGCAAGCTCTCCATCCCATTAGCGAATGGCCTGCTCTCTCCATTCCAGGCATAAGGAGCTCTGCAACAGCAGAGCAAGGCAGAAACTCTTCACCAGAGTAGAGAGGAGGAGGAGTGAGAAGTACCCATCTTTTAGTGAAAAGTAAAAATCTCATTTTTACAAAGGACTGGACTGGACATACCAGAAGTAATACAGAAGATGCAGCCGTGCTGTTTTGGAGTTACTGTGAGATGAAAGTGAACCACAATTCCTCCGTCTCTGAGACAGAACGCCTGTCTTCAGAGCAGGGACTAATAGTCCACAGAGGGACGTACACATCTTGCATGCTGATGGTTAGCAACAGTCATCCTGTACAGGCACAGGTGCTTAAAACAGACATGACTCTACCTGATAGATGATCATATCAGTGAGGAAGATTCTTAACCAAAGCCAAGTATCCGTCTTCCATGCCAAACAAATTCTTGTAAATTCTGAGCGAGAATTCAAAGAAAATTTACCAAATATATGTAACACTGAACAGAACTAAATAACCCAGTAAGAGAGAACAACAGCCAGAGAAGCACATTACCAAAAAATAGACAGTAACTGTAGAGTTTGATTTCTGACTTCTAAAACAATGGTCTAGAACAGCCGTGGGCAAACTACGGCCCGCAGGCTGGATCCAGCCCGTTTGAAATGAATAAAACTAAAAAAAAAAAAAGACCGTACCCTTTTATGTAATGATGTTTACTTTGAATTTATATTAGTTCACACAAACACTCCATCCATGCTTTTGTTCCGGCCCTCCGGTCCAGTTTAAGAACCCATTGTGGCCCTCGAGTCAAAAAGTTTGCCCACCCCTGGTCTAGAACTTCAATTAGTAAAGTTAGGACAGAATACTCAGTAATACACAAGCACATTCTTATTAGGCACCAACATTTACTGAGCACATGCGATGCGCCAAGAACGTTCCCAATGCTTTTCACATATTACCTCATTTATCTTTTCAATTACTTTGCTCCCTCTGCCCAAAAGATCTTGTTTTATTTTTACCCCGTTAAAATACTTTGCAACACTAGTGTATTTGCTTAGAAACATGCCCAAGGGCTCTGTACCGGCATGTGACAGAGCAGGACAGAGCGTGAATGTCCACTGGCTAAAAGGAAGTAATGAGCCTTGACTCCAAAGGATGGCAAAAATATGTTGGTTAGCAAAGTGCTGGTCATTTGTAAGGAATGCTGATAAATACTTAATAGTTTAATATTATTCAGATGAAACACCCTATTTTTATGTCTATACTTCAAAGGAAACAGGCTTTCTATTGCATTTGGATTTTGAGGTTTTTGGGAAGTGGAGTTAATGCAGATGGAAAACAGCATTACTTTTTGTATTCTTAGTTGCATGTGGTTAAGGAAGATACAGAGCAACAGGACAGGAAAATTAAAAGCACAAAACAAACAAACCCAGGAAAAAAGGCCAGCAATAGAAATTTTAAAAGATCCCAAACTCTCCCTCTACTTCACCCCAACCCTGATTATAATATACACTCAGAGCAGAAGCTAAGAGGTGAATGGTTATTTGAATATTAATAATTGATTAGATCTTACTTAATTTAGTCATAAGTGACTTGACATATCAAGTAATTTTTTAGCACAATGATTTTATATACAAAAATTAAACAGCACTAATAGGACAAGCATATTCTTACCCTTGTCAAGGAATTCTAGGGAATAGAGCAACTCCCAGCTCTCCCTGGCCAACTTAAAGCTTTCTAACACTTCAATTGAGTTAGCAAGTTCTGCTTTATTGATGACAATGTGACGATTCCTTCCTTTTGCTGAACAGTCCTCATCGTCTGAACTCTGCTTAGAGAATGTGAAGAACACGGATCACTCTTTGTTGTGGGGTTTCCTGTGTGTTGTAGACTTTCTGGCAGTTATCCCTGCCTCTACTCACCACATACTAATAGCAACCCTTCCCCACCCAGCTATGATATGACCATCAAAAATGTCCTCTGCCCTGGCCAGTTTGGCTCAGTGGATAGTGAGTCAGCCCGCAGACTGAAGGGTCCCGGATTCGATTCTGGTCAAGGGTACATGCCTTGGTTGCAGGCTTGATCTCCGGCCTTGGTTGGGGCGTATGCAGGAGGCAACCAATTGATGTGTCAGACACACCGATGTTTCTGTCTCTCTCCCTCCTTTCTACTCCCTCTAAAAAGCAATGGAAAAATATCCTTGAGTGAGGATTAACAACAACAACAAAGTCCTCAGATATTGTCAAGTGTCCCTAGGGGTCAAAATTACTTCTAGCTGAGAACCACTGACTTATACAGTAATTACATGTTATAACTAAAACCTAAGTTTTATCAATTTAGTTCCAAAGCCATATTCTACAAAGACTAATTTCTAAAAAAATCATAAACATATAATCTATTAATAATCACTGAAAAGGATTACCATAGGTTTTTCTCTTCCTTCTGCCAGTTTCCTCTTTTTATGTATGTGTTTATTACGATCAATTTCTATATCACCATACACATTTGATACATCCTCCAGGAGAACCAGTGGAACTTGGCTTGGGGCATTAGGACCTATGGTGGGGTAAAACACCAACAATTAAAAATGTAGCAAGAAAAAGAACACTTAATATCAGGTGGAAATTTACTCAACTTTCATGTAAAAATACAGGTCATTAAAAATTTGTACAGTGTGACCCCAATTAGGAAAACAAACAAGTGTATACGTATAGAAAAAGATTGTACAGATATACACCAATTGTTAACAGAGGTTCTCCCATCAGTAGCAGATTACAAAAAAAAAAGTTCCTTTTTTGTATTTGTTCTTACGTTTTGACAAATTTTTTACCATAATCATGAATCATAAAATTACCAAAAAAGTTAAGGCTACAAAATTACACGTACAAGATGGTTACAAATTCCAAATAAATCTAATACATGAAAAGACTATAAGGCAATACACAAAAATGGGAGCTGTGTTATACTGGAAGAATTATGGGAGATTTCACACTTGTATTTTTCATATTTTCCAGGATTTATATGAATATATATATTTTTTTCTCTGTACCATTCCAATTTTAGTCTATGTGCTGCCAAAGCGATATATATACATACATACATATATATATATATATATATATATATATAAAATTTAAAAAGTCTTTGCCTATTGCAAAGTCTTTGTGAAATCTACTTCAATACTTTGCTACATCTGCTGCTTTTTCAAAATACAGGCATTCAATGTCTGCATGTAGTTTCATATTGCCACTACATTTTTGATATAGAAACTTTTAATGAAGATGTACTTACATAAACCAACAATAACTAAATAAAGTGCTGGTATCACCCCACAATTATCTGGATCCGAGAACCATGTTAAGGTAAGGATTTTTATCTTCACCATCCCCGCTGAGGCCAGTATTTTGGGACACTCTAAAATTCTTAAACCAACCTTGGAAAAGAGATGGCTGTATGCTATTGACATACTGGAATGCATTCTTAAAGAAGACCAACATAGTGGAATAAACCACTTGGTTTTTGTATTTTGCATGAGCTTCATTATCAAAGTTGTTCATGTATCTGCAGAGATCCTTCATTCTATGCAAAATATCACCATAGCTTCTGAAAGATGAAGAATGATAAAATTTGCTTAATTACTCTGGGCTTGTCAGCAAAAGGTCGAGAGAAATGTCCCAGGAGAGGCATTACATTTACCAAATGTAACTTTAGGCATGTAAAACTAGTCTTTATTGTCCACATATGGCTGCAAATTCTCCTGAATTAGAGCAGTGATTAGACCAATATTTTATGAAACAAAAATGCCAAGTAGCTTCTCTTTCCTCTGAACATCAAGGAGTACTTCAAACTCAACATCATCTTAAGAGTTCCTATTTCTGTTGGGAATCTTTTAATAAAATGAAAAACTACCCTCTTTTGCATAAATACTGTGTGTTACAGAATTTACCCAAAGAGAGATGTACCAATATCCTATTTAATAATAGGCTAATTAGACCAAACAGCCAAATGACCTTCCGACCATCCTTCCGGACTAAGATGGGGCTGTGAGGGCTGGCCGAGGCAGCGAGGGCTGAGCCCTTGCACAAATTTCGTGCATCAGGACTCTAATATTAATATATTAGTTGCTTTAAAAAGTGTTTTTGTTTCCTAGGATCCTGAGATTATGCTATCAAAGATTTGTTAGGTAATTCTAGAAACGAACAATTTTTTACCGTCTTCCTTTATCCATCTGCCATTCACATCTCATTCCAACAACATTCAAAATCTTAAACAACCTCTCCCAAGGGTCCACAATCTGGGATGATTTTTCAGTCAATCCTTCTATTATGTACTTCTGAGAGCTACGTTTGCTAGGTGACATTAAATCAGATGTTTCTTGCACACCTGAGACGTAAGAAAAAAATAGCCTGCAATTAACATTACTACTTAACTATTTATATCAGTGGTTCTCAACCTTCTGGCCCTTTAAATACAGTTCCTCATGTTGTGACCCAGCCATAAAATTATTTTCGTTGCTACTTCATAACTGTCATGTTGCTACTGTTATGAATCGTATTGTAAATATCTGGTATGCAGGATGGTCTTAGGCGACCCCTATGAAAGGGTCGTTCGACCGCCAAAGGGGTCGCGACCCACAGGTTGAGAACCGCTGGTTTATCTGGTACTTGATAGAGGGAAAAAATCTCACTCCCCATTCAAAAAGCGAGAGCACAGAATCTCAACATGTTGTGTCTTGCTCAAGGACCTACACTGGCCATTGGTAATGTAGGGAGTGACTCTGAGCTGTGGCACATGTACAAAGCTCAGTGTATAAATAGAGTTCAACAAGTTAACTGTGGCAATTTAGGGGTAAAATTGGGTCCAGAAAAGTCTCATCTCTTAACTGCAGTATTTCTTTTCTAGAAACCGTCTTTTAGAAACATTATCAAACTGGTATGTATCCAGAGGGAATAATCAGAATGCTGAGGGATTTCTGACTCTGCAATTTTACTAAAGTCTGTCTAAACAAGATTGTAGAACATTCCTACTTACCTTGATGCTGATTCTCTACCTGAGTAGACCTGGTGACATAATTGATATAAAATTCAGCTGCTTTGTTCAAGTACTTGTATAATAAATTGGCAGGCAACCGAACATCATGGTTGTTAATTATTAGAGGAAGGACATCACAAACTGTTGAGGAGGAAAAATAAGAAAAAAATGGTTCCATTGTCTATCGTAGGGTTCTGACAAAAACAAAATTTATTTTCGAGTTCACTTAATGTAGTACCTAAAATGTACAGGAGGGGCAAACCCTTATGGCACATTTATTTGAAAATTGCAGTGCAGAGGCACACCAGTGGGTGAAGTCAGCGAGAAAACACGGGCAGATTCTATATTGTGGGTAAGATGTTTGTTTATTATTACACTGCATACTTAAATATACAGTCACACATAATATTCTTTGGGAGATACCAAATATGACATTACAAAAACTTTGAAATTGTTTAAAATGCTTTCTGGACTGAAAAAATAAACAATGATTTAAGTGCCGAAATATGAAAAGTTCCTTTGCTTTCTACCAATGGCCTGATCCCTGAAATGATACTTACCCCTGCATATTCTACATAGCATAAGGACTTAATATAAAATACAATTTTTCTTACCAAATAATTTTCTAAAGCAGTTAACAGGAGATTCTTGTTCTTCAATGGTTTCAGCCTCTAGCAGTGCCTCCCCAAGGCCAACCTGTTTCAAAATACATTTAATCATTTAAATGTGTTACAGTTTAACATGTCAGAATTACACGAAGAAACATGTGATTTTTTGTTTTTAATCCTCGTTCGAGGATATTTTTCCCCCAATGATTTTTAGAGAGTGGAAGGGAAGGGGAGAGCCAGAGAGAGACATCGATGTGAGACACATCGGTTGGTTGCCTCCTCCATGTGCCCCGACCGTGGCCAGGGGCCGAGCCTGCAACTGAGGTACGCACCCCTGACAGGAATCGAACCCGAGACCCTTCAGTCCAAGACCCAACACTCTAACCACTAAGCCAAATAAGTTAGGGCAATAAGGTATTTTTTTAATTTACCACATAGTTTGTATATTCAAGCTTCCCGAGAAACAAATATTTTCATATTGAAGACTAGAAAACAAAAAAACATCAGCAACACAGCTCAGAAGGGAATCCCTAATTCACCTGACCACAGATCACTTTGTCTTGGTTATTTTCCTCTGAAATGGTAATATTAAAACCCTAACAAAATGTGTAAGAAACTTAAAGAATGCCCTGGAACTAGAGTTAGAATGATAATAGAGCTGTAGAGATTTTCTAAGGAATGTGGAAAAAACTTTACTATCTACCTCAAGATGTGTCATGTAGATGAAACATCACTTTCAAAAGTTGTCTGGAGTAGCCAATCGTACAGCCTGCACTCGGCTGGACAGACTAGGAGTTTTAAGCCACCTTTCCATTACTGATGCCCTAGTATAGCAGAAAGTTGGCTTATCAAATCCACCAAGATGTCAGCATTATCTTCCTTGCAACTAACTATTTGGCATGCACAAGGTTGGGGTGGGACAATGGGAACGATTACACAGCACAGAATGTTTAAAGTAAGAGTAATGAACACGGACTATACTGGGTTGAATAGTGTCCCCTCCAAAATTCATGTCCACCCAGAACCTCAGAATGTGACCTTACACAGATTTTACCTTACAAAATGTGAGCTCTTTGTAGACACAATTAGGTAAGATGAGGTCATACTGGATTAGGGTGGGACCTAACTCAATGACCTTATATAAGAAGGTCATGTAAAGACACAGACACACAAGGAAGCAGGCCATGTGACAATGGAGGCAGAAACTGGAATGATGTCGCTGCAAACCGAGGAATGACAGACTGCTGGTGACACCAAAAGCTAGGGAACGGTAGGAAGATTAAGGATTTGAGTCCTGACTCTCCCATTTACGGAAAGTTACTAACATTTAAGATTCAGTCCCCTCATCTGTAAAGTGGATATTATGTACACCTCAAGGGGTCTGTGGAGAATAGAAGGAAATTCCTAACATTTCCCAATGCCTGCCAATAGCATTCAATTATTACGGATATAAGAAAAGGGCATGAGTAGAGAGAAAACAATGTTCATAGGGCAAAAGCATGTGAAAAACATGTCTATTAGGAATATAAACTACGGCTCATTAAAATTCAAACACATTTTTGAAAACACTGGAATAAGATTATTTTAAAAAACTTTACTCAGAGCTCAGTGACTGTTTCCTTACACTGATAAAACAACTTCTACCGGAAATTAATAGTTTGGTAACAGTGACATCCTTCTAGCTTTACTGACAAAGATTTAAGTCAACCTTATCTAATGTTCTTCAGAACGTCTGCTTTACAATATCCACTATAGCTCCTAGGCATCCTGATGAATTTGTCGCTGACTTTTATTTTCTCTGAAGGAAAAGGAAAGGACCAATCTCACCCCATGCTGCACCACTGTTTCCGGGAAGCGTCTCAGAAGGAGAAGCAGCATTTCTGATCGCTCCAAGGTGTTGAAGCATTGTTCCGTGACCTTGAGTAACATTTCACACTGGACCCGACCAGGAAGAGTTTCAAATAAACCTGTACACAGCACATCATGTTTTTAGAAGTTCCTTTCAGAAAGAATACTGAAGCAAAAGTGGAAGTAAGGCATTTTTATATACAGAACAGTAAATACTATGTGAAGAATCACTGTTCTCGGGTTTCACCTGCAACCTAGAACAGCCGTGGGCAAACTACGGCCTGCGGCTGGATCCGGCCGTTTGAAATGAATAAAACTAAAAAAAAAAAAAAAAAAGACCGTATCCTTTTATGTAATGATGTTTACTTTGAATTTATATTAGTTCACACAAACACTCCAACCACGCTTCCGGTCCAGTTTAAGAACCCATTGTGGCCCTCGAGTCAAAAAGTTTGCCCACCCCTGACCTAGAAGGCTTCTGGGTCAGACAGTATTGGGCACAAGATGTTTGTTGAATGACCATAAAAACTTTTTGGGATCCAGAAGACAAGAATGATATATGTGAAGGTCACACCAGTGCTTGTTGCTGGCTGAGACAGAGGACACACACTTGTTTAAGGTGAAGGACCTACACTGTTTACTTTTTTATCCAGAATTTGAAATATTTGATTGGCTATAGCAACCAACACAGAGTAAAGGTTTAAAGAAAGGTCATAAATCATTAAAGTTTCTCTCCTGTTTTGTGAAGATCTGCCTAATGTACAGATGCTTTCCGACTGCTGTAAAACCTGTTAAAAATATATTCAGTTCCCTGGACTAACTGATAAGTCCACATCCCTTAAGGAAGCGTAAGGAGTCTAAGCAAATGCTTCAGGGACCAAGTGACACCATTTGTCCAGACTTCCGCTGCCAAGAATAAAACATACATATGGGTACCAATATTACAGATGTCATTTTTTGGCGAAATTACTATATTTAACTTGGTATTCCAGAAACAGTAACTTATACATTGTTAAGAAATTACTCCATTCTTACTTCTTAAAAATTGGGTTTGTTTATCCTGTGAATCGTTCCTTAATGCTGATGTGATAATGCTGATTTCTCTCCATACCACCGGCTGATCTGGGAAATTCACAAACCTAGTTTTAAAATGAATGCATTAAATTAAAATGTCAGATTCTATATAAAATCCAACAAAGAACATTAATATTTGAATAAAAACACATTTTTCATTATTCCAAGTGAATATGAAGATGTACCGAAACACACCAAAATAAAGATATAAAAATAAAAACTAATTTTAAAAAAATGAGGGTATCAGCCTTGGCTAGTGTGGCTCAGATGGTTGAACTTCTTCCCATACACCAAAAAGTTGTGGGTTCGGTCCCTGGACAGGGTGCATACTGGAGGCAACCAATTGATGTTTCTCTCTCATATTGATGTTTCTCTCTTTCTCTCCCTTCCTCTCTAAAAATCAATAAAAATGTATTTTAAAAAATGAGGGTACCCACAAGAATTTTGAGATTTTTGCAAGTGAAAAGATAATATTTCATACGTGTAAAGTACTTCTAAATATCAACAAGAAAAAAAAAGGTACCCAAAGAAAAAGTGGACAAAGGCAAATCACAGAAAAAACACAAGTAGCCAAAGAGAACATTTGAAAAGATTAGGAATATAATGGAGACAACTATTTAAAAATAGCAAAATACCATTTTCTATCACTTTGGCAAACATTTAAATCTGAAAGTCTGATAATATCCACTGTTGGCAAAGGTATGGAAAAATGGACACGCATACACCGTTAGTGAAAATGTAAATTGGAATGGTATTTTGGGGAGAGCACTTTGACAGTGCATCAACACTTAAAATGTGCAAACGTTCACTAGGGAAATCCATGTAGAATCTATTCTACAGAAAACATCAAAATATGGGTACAATATTGCCTATGGACACTGTAATTTCAAATTTGGAAACTACCAATAAAAGAGTGGTTATGAAATGCTATGCAGACATGAAGAAGAACGAAGTAGATCTCTACCTACAAACAGAAAAAGGGGTCCTTTACTTACAGGAAAAGGGGGCGAAGAAAGCCAGCTGCAGAATAATCAGTATGATCTCACTTTTGTAATCCACCCCCCAAACGTGTTATATGCATCGTGTGTATGTGTATCTGTATCTCTGTATCTCTGTATCTCTCTCTCTCTCTCTCTCTCTCTCTCTCACACACACACACACACACACACACACACACACACACCTTAACTCTGGCTGAATTTAGGAGGCGGGAGGGGGGAGGCTTTCACTTTTTATTCTGCATGCTTCATTATTGTTTTAACTTTTATATAGAGCAGCGGTTCTCAACCTGTGGGTCGCGACCCCTTTGGGGGTCGAACAACCCTTTCGCAGGGGTCGCCTAAGACCATCGGAAAACACATATATAATTACATACTGTTTTTGTGATTAATCACTATGCTTTAATTATGTCCAATCTGTAACAATGAAAATGCATCCTGCATATCAGATATTTCCATTACGATTCATAACAGTAGCAAAATGACAGTGATGAAGTAGCAACGAAAATAATGTTATGGTTGGGGGTCACCACAACATGAGGAACTGTACTGAAGGGTCGTGGCATTAGGAAGGTTGAGAACCACTGATCTAGAGCATCATGTATTATTTCCAAAATAAAGGAAATTCTCGGACAGCAGAGTTTTAACAAGAAACATAAGACTTCTCTGCAGAGGGCATGCCAGCAACGAACGGAAGGACTCGAGACATAGCGAAGGTGGGATGTGGATGAAGGGGAATCTTCCTGCCATGCCCCCTCCACGGAGCAAAACCGCAGGAGGCCCGCGCCCGCTCACTCACATGTCGTACAGCAGCCTCCCCGCCGTGGCGGTGCGCTCCGCGTTCCGCTCGATGGTGTACATCTCGTACTGCAACACAGACCAGACCGTCAGGCCCCCGCCCCCGCCGGGGCCGCGGGGCCGGGTTCCCGGGGTCAGTGCAATAATGTCTTAAAAGTAGAAGGCGCTGCACAGACGGCTGCCATCATGATTCAGGACCGATCGGAGCCTGTCCTAGAGGCGTTGGTGTGCGGTCGGGGCCACACAGCCGTCAACGCGCGCCACACCTCCCACCAGACCCGAGCTCCAGGGCGTTCGCGGGGTCTGCAGGCGCTGGCGTCCGGGGAGAAGGCTTGGGAAGGCGTGGGAGGACAGGGCGGGAGGAGGTGGAGAGAAGGGGGAAAGGGAGGGGAGGCGGGCGGGCAGGAGCGGCCCATCCCGGGCAGCCGGGCGCCGCAGCGGCTCACACCTCCCCGAGGCGGAGCGCGCAGGGCCCGACCTCACCTGGATGTTGAAGTCGGCGGGGTAGAGGCTGCGGGCCGTGATCAGCCACGCCTTGGCCGCCCACAGGTCCTGCTGCACCAACTCGCGGGCTCGCTGCACCAGGAACTCGCAGTCGCCCTGGGCCGACATGGCCCAGGAGGGGTCGGGCCGCCGGCCTGAAGCAGCCGAACCTTCCGGCTGCGGGGACGCGGCCAACGCCGTGGCCGCCGCCGCCGCCGCTGCCGCCGGGAAGGTTACTGCGCATGTCCGGTCGCAGGGACGCCGGCAGTGGATCGGGAAGAGTTTTCCGGGTTTTGTGGGCAGCCTCTTCCGGTCGGCTCTCAGTTACAGCCAGGCCCCTTCCTCCTCCGCGGAGCTAGTGTTTTGTAAGTCTTCTGGGTCACCTCCAAAATCCGGAGAAGTGGATTTTCACTCCGACGGGCTTCACCGAGACCATGGTCAAGCCAGAGAGCATGCGCGGGAAGCGGCGGGCGCTAGGGGGCGTTTCCCAGTGCTGGCAACCTCGCGCGGGCAGGTTTCGGGAGCGGGAGCTGGAGCGGGCGCGCGGAGCTGGGCACCCCCAGGTGGCGGGCGGTCTCTGGGTGGCCCGCGCCTCTCGGTTCCCGGGACCAGGCTGGGAGGTTGTTTGAGAGGAAGAAGCAGAGGGCGGCCCGGACCGCGGGAAGGATCCCCGTGGTCCCGGCCGGGTTGAGGGCCCGGCCTCTGGGGCACTGCCCGGGAGTAGATGTAGGAGTAAAGTCCGGGGCCCAGGTACGGGGCTCGGTACAGCGGGGAGTGTGATGCCTCACGTTTGGTCTGGTGCCTTTTATCTTTTCTGAGTGCGTCTGTATTTTATTTATTTATTTGTTTTTTAAAAATATATTTTATTGACTTTTTACAGGGAGGAAGGGAGAGGGATAGAGAGTTAGAAACATCGATCAGCTGCCTCCTGCACACCTCCTACTGGGGATGTGCCTGCAACCCAGGTACATATCCTTGACCGGAATCGAACCTGGGACCCTTCAGTCTGCAGGCCGTCGCTCCATCCACTGAGCCAAACCGGTTAGGGCTGTATTTTATTGCTGCGCCTTTATTCGCTGGTTTTCCCAACAGACATTTATTTACTGAGCAGTTGCAGTAATTGGTCCTTAGAAAGTGCTTTGCAGTACGTCCTGAGGGAGCTACGAAGGTGATTGTCCCTGTCCCAGCAAGGGATTTTTTTTTTTAACTGTAGTGTCAAGACTTAGTTGGAACTAAGTCCTATTTTCATATATATATATATATATATATATATTTTTTTTTTTTTTTATTGATTTTTTACAGGGAGGAAGGGAGAGGGACAGAGAGTTAGAAACATCGATCAGCTGCCTCCTGCACACCTCCAACTGGGGATGTGCCGGCAACCAAGGTACATGCCCTTGACCGGAATGGAACCTGGGACCTTTCAGCTCACAGGCCGATGCTCTATCCACTGAGCCAAACCCGTTAGGGCTCCAGCAAGGGATTTACATTGTTATGGAGGTGTGACCTACAGAAAAATGTTGTTTTAAGTATCTTCTCCAACTAGAATTAATGTCATTTTTACAAAAACTTAAGATTTGTTTAGCATTGGAGGGAAGGAGAACAAAATAATTTCTGTTCTCTTGGAAAGGAGGCCGCACTTAAGGCCAGAGGAAGCAATATTTGCCCAATAGGAAGAATGTACCAAAATGTGGGTTCTGATTAATCATTCGATTTTTCAATCTAAGTTGTGTAGAAAAAAATTTTAGCAAATTCTATTACCACTGATAACTTCCATTTAAAACCAAGGGATTAAGGATTCAAAATTGACTTGTGTGTGTTTTTTTAAAGAAGTTACTGTGTACTTATATAAACATAAAAATAGTAAATATTCTAAATAAATATAAATAAATACCATTACTATTTATGGTTATACGTAAAGTATAATATATACTTACTAATTATAATGCTTTATAAATAAACAATCTTAAAAATTAGTGGTGGCGCCCTGGCTGGTTTGGCTCACTGGATAGAGCGTCGGCCTGGGGGCTGAAGGGTCCCAGGTTCGATTCCGGTAAAGGGCATGTACCTTGGTTGCGGGCACATCCCCAGTAGGGGCTGTGCAGGAGGCAGCTAATCGATGCTTCTCTATCATCGATGTTTCTAACTCTCTGCCCCTCTCCCTCCTCTCTGTAAAAAATCAATAAAATATATTTTTAAAAAAATTAGTGGTGGGTTATTTATTTATGTTTGTGTGCTAGTTTTGGAGATAAGTGACAAATAGGGCAGGCACAAAGGAACGCAACGTGAAGTGCCAATGCTATCACATCATTAATGTCTGAGCTCTTTCATTAGTTTATTTTGCTTATTACCCCATTCCAAAAATGGCAATGTTAAGTATCTTCCCCTTTCCTCAAAACTTTTTAAAATTTGATTTTGTTTAATTGGTACCCTCAATGGTATCTCCTGGTAGGACTCACTGCATTTACCTCAGTCATTCTGTGATGTAGCGAGGAAGCATTATGGTCCCAAAGGTGCTATTTAATGTCTTCTGATTATGCACAGGAACAGCCTAATTTTTCGATTCTTTTGTAGGCGAGGAAGCTGTGATAAAAATGTTTTGGCTTTGTAGGAAAGAAGGCAGACAACTGAACAGATCAGAATAACTTTTACCTGATAAAGGGTAGGTCATAAAAACAGATTGCTGTCTTAAATATTTTTCATTATTAGCCTGGCTGGCATGGCTCAGTGGTTGAGTGTCAACCTATGACCCAGGAGGTCACGGTTCCATTCCCTGTCAGGGCTCTTTTATTAAAACATATTTTTATTGATTTCAGAGCAGAAGGGAGAGGGAGAGAAACATCAATGATGAGTGAGAATCATTGATCGGCTGCCTCCTGCACACCCCCCACTAGGGATCACAGCTGCATCTCAGGCATGTGCCCTGACCAGGAACTGAACCGTGATCTCTTGGTTCATAGGTCAACACTCAACTACTGAGCAATACTGGCTGGGCATTTTTATTGATTTTAATGTACAAAGTTTGTGTAGAGACTTTCAAATGGCAAAACGGTCATTAATCTTTAAGTTTGGAATTACCAAAACAAAAAACAAAACTGTACACTTGTTCCTGAATCTTTAGTTCTCTAGTGTTCTATTAGATAACAATTAGAAATTAAACTTAATTATAGGGGATAAATAAGGGAACTCTGGATGTATTTTAGATGCCAATCAATTGAAATTGCCTCCTTTTGCCAGAATACAACATAAGATTTGTGGCTATTTTCTATCCAACTTTGTTTTTTCAAGTCAGCATCAGTTTTATTTTTAATAAATATATTTGATTGATTTTAGAGAGGAAGGGAGAGGGAGATACAAATAAAAACAATGATGAGAGAGAATCATTGATTGGCTGCCTCCTGCGTGTCTCACACCAGGGATGGGGGATCGAGCCCTCAACCCAGGTATGTGCCCTGACCCAGAATGAAACTGTGACCTCCTGGTTCATAGGTGGACGCTCAACCACTGAGCCACACCAGCTGCATCAGTTTTTATTTGCCATTTCTTTCCAGCAGAGAAGGCTGCTGTAGATATACCAAAGCACTCCTGCCTCCAGGAGTGGTCATATAAACATGAATTTGTCAGTACAACTTCTTCCTCAAGGCCTTTGATACTGTGAAGAAGTTGGCTCTTGTCTCTGACTTAGAAGTTGTCATCTGGAGAACATGAGCCAGGTGCTCAGATTCTCAGTGAAGATTCAAAATCACGGCAAGGAGGCCAAGAGATGTACATGCACTTGGCCTAGTACCTTCCTTGTGTACTTGAGATGCCTGCAAGACACTCTCAAGGAGAAACGTTTAGCTGGGGACCTTTCCTCAATCTGGCGCATGTTCTCCACGACAACTTCTAAGTCATGTAAGATGCTCAGCATCCAGCCTCAAGTTCCTTGAACTCAGTTCAGTGATTTGTATTAAACACTATGTTGCTTTGTATCTTCAGCTGCAAAATACTAAAACCCACAAGTACAACCTCTGAACTTGCACTGACACAGCCTCTTTCCTGCCCTCAACTCCCTGTTTAGCTCTTTTTAATGGTTTCTTCATTTCTCTTCTCCCTGACTTTGGCTTCGCAGACCTCTATTCCCTTGACATCTACAGTTTTCTCCTAATGTATCTGCCTTCCCCTGGGCTTACTCTGCTTCCTGCTCACACTAAAAAGCCTGGGCTGGGACACTCAGCATGTTCAGTGTCTTTGCCTCTTTATCCCATCACTGTATCTGCTCTTCAAATGACCAACCCTGTGTCCCATCCTATGGTGCATCTTCCTGGATGTGTGCCTGGCTTGAAATAGGTGCGATGAATGAATATCCAGGAGGCTGAGTTCTGCTGTGCAGATTGATGCTACAGCTAATTCCAGGTTTTAGTATCAGTCTGGGCTCTTGACCACTCCACGTCCCATTCTTTCACCAACTTACAGTTAACTCTTAAACAGTTGAAAAATTAGCCTATAACTTTTTAAAAAATTGATTTTAGAGAGGGAGAGGGAGAGATAGAAACATCGATGAGAAACATAGATTGACTGCCTCCTGCACGTCCCCTACTGGGGATTGAGCCCTCAACCCAGGCATGTGCCCTGACCGGGAATTGAACCAGTGACCTCTTGGTGCACTGGTCAATGCTCAATGACTGGGCCACACTGGCCAGGCATCAGCATATAACTTTTGACTCCTCCAAAACTTAACTACAGTTAGCCCATTGCATCCACAGATTCAACCAACTGCAGATGGAAAACAGTATCTTTGATCTGTGGTTGGGAATGTGAAAATACTGCTTTTAATTTGTACTTGGTTGAATCTGCAGATGCAAAGAGCTGACTGTATTTATTGGGGAAAAAATTCGCCTATAAGTGGACCCAGGCAGTTCAAACTCATGTTGTTCAAGAGTCAACTGTATTTCAAGCCTTTGTCATTTTTCTCAAGTGCTTATCTTTACTGTGAGCAGATGACTTTAGCTTTTACTTAGAAGACTGCAGCCATCAAGCCTTAAACTCCTTCAGTTTGGGGCATCATGGCCCTATTTACATTTCAAGATCAAACACCTGATCATGTAAGTATTCTTAAAACCCTTTTATGGTTTCCAATTGTGCTGATGTCGGATGTGTAGCTACTGCTCTGCCTTTGCAACCACCCCTGACCCAGAACTTCTTTCAGTTCTTCCATGTGGTACATTGTCATCTCCACACATTCTCGTGTACTGT